CTGTAATAACTTAAAAACTATTGAATTATCTTTCAATTTCTCCCCATGCTTTTGTTTTATCGAACGGAGATTTAAAATCATTTTTGTTTTGTTTTCTTTTACATTAAAGGTACATTATGTCCCATAAACGAATAAATTGTTCATGTTTAAGAAATGACAAACAAGAGTTTTATAATGTTTAAATAAAAGTTAAAGAAAATGTGAGATGCTTCAGACCTGAAGAAAGTAGCGATTAAAGTGAAAAGTTATGAGTTTGTATCTCCTATGTAGGACTTTATGACTTTATAAGAAATTCATACAGAATGCTTTGCAAATCTCAACATTACGCACCGGTATATCGGCTATGGAACAAGATACTTAATCTCCCCGCCGAAATTTCAAATCTGAAATATTGAGGACACTTCACCTTTGGTTTATATATAATTTATTTAAGTTCGATTGTGTAGGAAGCTATAAGCTTATAGACACACTTTCAAATCCGTTTCTGGAACCAACTAGTACTGAGCAATGAGTGTAAAGTTTCTTGATCAGGGTAACTACGGCTTGCCCATGACGGGGTTTAACTCATGCGGATAGCGATCATTAGATTACAAGTCCGACGCGTTAACCACTCGACCATGCCACTTCACTTAAACCTCAGGTTTCTGGAGTGTGAAGTGTCTTTGTAAGCATCTATCCCGAAAAATTGCTTCACAGATCTTCAAAAAATTTACTCGGCATTTAAGTGTCTAAGATATTAACACACGTATATCAAAATTTAAAAGGCTTTAAAGATTACATTTTCCGAATTAAACGAGGACTTTATCCATTTTCAACCGTTTCGAATAATTTAATCCTTATAGTGGCGGGGGATGTGAAGTGTCTTTTTCCAGCTCCGAAAAGTTGCGATTTGCGAAGCAATATGCATGCATAAGTTTAAAAGTGAACAATGCTTCACCCATGCATTTTTGTATAATCAACATAACAAACGTACTTAATACAGAATCATCATTTAAACGATGAATTGATTATTTGTAGAGAATAACATCTTCAATTCAAAGTTCAATTTTCGGAACTAGTTGTATTGCTCAAAATAATTCAGATTATTGAGTTCTGGTTATTTCACTCAAGATCATCTCTGGCTACAGAATAAGAGTATTTACTAAAGCGGCCTGCCACAATTACAATTTGACACATATAATTTATTTTCCTACATAATATACTATCCTAGGTTATACTCTAGCGTATATGTGTAACATTTCAGTCGCGCTCTGTGCTTTCAGCACTTTGATATGTATCCTACGTAGGAGTTATAAATAAAACGGCGGGGTCGCGGAACTAAAGACATATATTTTTGTGACAGAAAACATTCTACTTAGAATGCATTAGTAATTAGGAATACAAATCTATAAAATAATGATGATAGGAATTTCAAATTTATTAAGCATTACAAATCTATAAAGCATTGGTAATTGGAATAACAGATACAAATAAATCTTTGATAATTAGAATTACAAATCTTTAAAGCATTGACAATTACAATAACAGTTTTATAAAGCATTGATAATAAGAATAATTGATCTTTAAAGCATTGATAATTTAAATAACTTATCTATAAGTCATTGATAATTTAAATAACATATCTATAAATCATTGAAAATAAAAATGAGCATTGATAATAAGAATTACAAATCTATAAAGCATTGATAATTACAATTATAAATTTATATAAAGCATTGATAATTGGAATTACAAATTTATAAAGCATTGATAATTAGAATAACTTATCTATAAAGTATTGATAATTAGGATAACAAATCTAAAAAGCATTGATATTAGAATTACAGATATATAAAGCATTGATAATTAGAATAACTTATCTATTAAGAATTGATAATTAGAATTACAAATCTATAAAGCATTGATAATGTGAATAACAAATCTATAAAACATTGATAATTTCAATGACAGATCTAAAAAGCATTGGTAAGTAGAATTTCTGATCTATAAAACATTGTAGTTATGTATAGGATTAAATAGAGGATATTTGTTTAGTTCAGTGTAAGATCGGAATATATTTCACCGAGTGAACACCAAAAGGTATATTTCACGAGTGGCGCAGCCACGAGTGAAATATGAACCTTTGGTGTTCACAAGGTGAAATATATTTCGATCTTACACTAAACTAAACAAATTTTCTTTTTATTATATGCAAAGAAACGTTTTAAAAAGACATTTAACCTAATACTGAATGAAAAGCGCGCCAAATAATAATACTACGTGACGTCATTTACGACGTCACGTCATTAAAATGGTACCTAGTTCTGTGCACGCTGGTATTTCACTGAAACAACGTAAGGGGCTTAAATTCAAAACAGTGAAATTATCAAAGTGGTAATTTCACTGTTTCAAGCAGTGAAATTACCAGTTTTTATATCACTGATATATTTCTATAAACCACCGAAAAGCATGTAATAAATCCTGATATTAATTCATATTGTATGAAAATTGAAATGACCATTAAAATTTTAATGTGCTATTTATATGAAAAGTTTTCTATGTTTTGTTTGCTATACCTCTTGCAAAACAAATTTGTAATTTTGGTGAGGCAAGGTTGGGTGGTTAAACTGGTTTTTGGGTGTCTGTAGACACACTTATTATGTGTGCTACTCAAATAACTCCAAACATTTGATAAAAAAGTGGCTGATAAAGAAAGCATGAAATCTTCTTGCACATGTCTAAAGGAATTTGACATAGACTTTTAAATGACATTGACCTACAAGGTCAAATCCTTTCATTTTGCTAAAGTTTTTGTAAATTGGTAATAAATAGATGAATTGTAGGCTAGACTTAGAATCTGTCCGCATCAATTCTTGACAGTATGATTTTACCCTTGTATTGAATATTATCAGATTATTTCTACAAAATCACTCAGATTACTTCTTGTGTCATGGGTTAGGGGGATATTAGGCTAGGTTACGGATTGTCCTGTGGACAGGTTCTAAAAGTTGTATTTATCCATTGATAAAACAATCCTTTGGAAAATGCTTTTAAGACCGTTAAACTTAATTGACCTTTATACATGTATGACATTGACCTTTGTGATAAATTATTGCATTAGCCTAAACTATTTTTAATTGACTTGATGCATAAAAACAACACTGATGTCTGATCTATCAGGAAGAATTATTATTTGGACCATCAATAATTTAATAGATTTTTTATTTGTAAATTTATAGACAAACGCAACTTAAGAGTTATAGAGGATATTTGTTTAGTTCAGTGTAAGATCGGAATATATTTCACCGAGTGAGCACCAAAAGGTATATTTCACGAGTGGCGCAGCCACGAGTGAAATATGAACTTTTGGTGTTCACAAGGTGAAATATATTTCGATCTTACACTAAACTAAACAAATTTTCTTTTTATTATATGCAAAGAAACGTTTTAAAAAGACATTAAACCTAATACTGAATGAAAAGCGCGCCAAATAATAATACAACGTGACGTCATTTACGACGTCACGTCATTAAGTTGGTACCAAGTTCTGTGCACGCTGGTATTTCACTGAAACAACGTAAGGGGCTTAAATTCAAAACAGTGAAATTATCAAAGTGGTAATTTCACTGTTTCAAACAGTGAAATTACCAGTTTTATATCACTGATATATTTCCATAAACCACCGAAAAGCATGTAATAAAAATGGGTCAAAACGTCCAAGTTAAATTTATAAAGCTTATCATTGGGCCAAATATTTCTGAAATGTTCATTGTGAAACTACTTTCGTCATAAGATGACATGAAATTTAATTTCGTCTTATAAACTACGTACTAATTGTTTAAATGACAGATCCAATTTAATGTCATGGTTATTTGGAATTCCATACCCCTGACTCATAGAAAGAAAACAAAATTTTCAATATTTAAAATTACTTTCAAGAAATACTTATTTAATCAACTTTAGCACGGTACGTGTGTTTTATATATACAAGATACGCTCTTTATATTCAAACAATAATTTTCATTATTATGTTTTCTAATAATAGGTGTCTGTCTTAGTTTTTAGTTGCTGACTGTGTGAATTTTGTAAGATTTGTTACTTTGTTAATTGCAGATTAAAATGGTGCAATGAGAAAGTATTTTGTTAAATGATAGATAAAATGAATTGTATGACTGTTCAGTATGTGTGGTAAGATATATGTTAAAATTGTAATAACCATTTAATAATTTCTTTTACATGCTATATTGTCTTCGATTGATATGTGTTCTTTCTGTGTGTGTGTGTGTGTGTGCGTGCGTGCGTGCGTGCGCGCGCGCGCGTGCGTGAGTGAGTGAGTGCGTGAGTGTGTGAGTTGGTGAGTGAGTGAGTGAGTGAGTGAGTGTGTGTGATAACCATTTCATCATTTCTTTTACATGTTATATTGTCTTCGATTGATATGAGTTCTTACAGTGTGTATGTGTGTGAGTGCGTGCGCGCGCGAGAGCGTGCGTGCGTGCGTGTGCGTGCGTGCGTGCGTGCGCGTGTGTGTTATTGTGGTGTAACTGTAAGTACGTGCAGTGAATGTCGCAAAACAACAGCTTATAGAATATAATTAAAAAACTACAACAACACAAATTCATCTGATATATCAATCCGAAAAATCACTTTTTAGTTAACGTACATTTATAACAAGAAGTATCTCAAAAAAGATACTCGGACGATGTAAAACTACTTTTACTTGCATGGTCTCTTTCTGGATGCACTTTTTCCGGGATCGTGGTAGTCTCCACATTTAGGATTGTCATTCATTTATAACTCGGTAAATTCTTATGTTGAATAAGATATTCACGAGTTAATTACTGAACTTATATATGTATGTGTGTATGTTTCAGACAGACCTTTTAGATTATTATACTAATTGTAAAATATGCCAATGACATTTCTGGATTTTAAAATCCTTCGAATATTTAGTTATTCCCTGTAAAACTTTACAGGCAGTGAAACCAATCTCAGACGGACTTCGTCCAAAAACAAAAACAAAACTAGTCAAATTCACACAAGCTCCAGAAAACATCATGGCAACCATAATCATGCCAAGACCATTCATTGTCCCAACTCAGCATTAATACGCAACTCTCGTCCTGGTGGTCATTCGGTTGACTTGGTCCCCATTTAACAAAATAGTCTAAGACTGGTGTACCGTCTTCCCAGTAAAATGTTCCTCCGCTTGTGTTGCGCGATGCTCCTATCCATGTGTTATAATGATAGCCTGAAGTAATAAAACTTTAATTTTTTAAATCTATATTAAAAAAATATTAAGTGTTTTAAGAAAAGGCATAGTATGCCTTAGAAACGAACAAATTCCTACCTCCTTAGAAAGGGGAAATATGAATTTTATAATGTTTTAATAATGTTTTTAGATATTTGTTACCTAAAATATAACGCTTAATGTGAAATAATTTGTAATTAAAGTAGCAAAATGTAAATAAATTATTTTGACTTCCATACAAAATACTTAATCCCTACATCTGTTTTAATTACCAAAATACAACAGAAATAAGGTTAATTGGCCAATGAATAACTGTTTAGAATATTTAAGTTTCCAAAAAAAAAGCTTTTGAGAAATCAGTTCCGTATTCCTTATTCGACTCGGTATAAGGAACAGAAGAAAACACGTAAAGAAGGACACCATTTGCAGTTATTTTTTGATAAATCTGCATTCGAATGACATGGATAGATAATCATAATAATCATTTCAAAAAGCATTTGCATAAAAATGATTTAATTTTTTTAAAGTCGAATAAGGAATAAGGAAGCAGTTCCTTATTCCTTATTCAACTCTTAATAAGGAACAGAAATAAATACATAAAGAAAGACACCAGTTGCAGTTATTTCTGATAAATATTCAATAGAATTGCAAGGATAAATCAATATAACCATTTCATAAAGCACCTGTATAAAAATATTTTGAAAGAAATGTCAAAGTCGAATAAGGAATAAGAAACCAGTTCCTTATTCCTTATTCAACTCCGAATAAGGAACAGAAGAAAATACGTAAAGAAAGACACCAGTTGCAGTTATTTTTGATAAAATGTGTGAACGCAAACCTTTAGAACAGATCTGAACATGATACATATAAAATGAGTGAATGCTTTACATTTGCATGAAATAAACGCAATATTTATAACTATTCGGACTTATTACTATTTTGAACAGTATAAATATGAATTTTCTCTGTTTGGTCGAGCCAACACTTCTGAAATTATGCGGTGATATAAAGTTCAGACCTTCAAGACCTTTTCTAATCAGATTTACCTCGAATGCTACCCCATGCTTACTCACAGGAAAGCTACTTTGGTGGATCCATACACACTGTGTAGGATAAAATTTGGAGCCAAGAATTTAAAACTTTAACTGGTCAATTAGTATACATTAATTATAAAAAAGCATGTACGATATTCAAAGAACTTACCACTGTCGAACACTTGATCCTCTATATATATTTCTTCCTCCTCTGTTGTTATGTCTGCTAAATGTCCACCTAAAGTCTGGCAGTTTAGCTAGAAAATAATACCATACAAGTTGTACCAGCATTAATTTTGATCAATTGTTGTCGTCAATACTAAGTAATAGTTATAGTATATGAAACGAGTTAGTTACGAGGATGTAACACTGGCTGGGGCGACATCATTCGTTTTCATACACTATAACTGTTTTATCGCAATGGCATAATGTTTTTTATTATATACTTATAAATGAGATATTGAGAAATATTGATGAAATAAAATGCGTATTTTCATTTTTCGTATTTTCACTGTAAAAATTTATTTTTCACTGCAGTGAAACATATTTTCCGTATTTTCACTGGTGTCTTGCCGGACTACTTTCTTTTAAATTCTGCCAGTACACAAAATTTAAGGGAAAGTCTTTTAAATTTTAATGTCAAAAAAGAGAAAAATGTATATAATAAATAGAAAATTCAAGTTTTTTCTATAAATACATGATTTATTTCCATCTTGTGGCATGAAAATTACCATATTTCACTCGTGGCTACCGCCACTCATGAAATATTTATCTTCATACCATTTGTTTTCGCTGCCGCAAAAAAAAGATATACAAGAGACATCCAATTTTAGAGGCGGATTGTAAACTGTTACTAATTAAAGGGCTTTTTTCAGTGAAAATAATACATTCAGCGGATGTATATTTTGATTAAATGAAAGTAAATTTCGTTTCATTAATTATCTTTGTTTATATTTTTATTGTATTTATTTATTTATTTCATTTTATTAATTTCATTTTTTTGCTACTGGGAGCCTTTGTAAAAAAACTACATTTATATATACAAAGTGCGGAAATAGTTTTCAAATGCTCATTGAAGTGTACTGGATAAAATAGGTTAGTAAGAACAAAGGAAAAGTTCCAAACCATGCGATAAAAAATTATCAAACGCATGTCTTACTCCACTTTAATTTAATTATTTGATTCATTTAACTGGAGTTGAACGTTCGCATAAATAAAGCGTTTACATAAATAATGAATTGATTTGTTCAATTCTCTTGTGTTCCGGGCAATGAACTCTCGCCTACAAAGATACGTTCGGTCATTGCCACTCGAAAAAAAACCCTAAACGTGCATTTTTAATTTTAATAGATAGAAATACTAGTATTTTAATAAAATGATTTTTAAATGAGAGAAGAATACCATGCATTGTAAGTCCATCACAAAAACAATACTCGTGTTAATACATATCTTTATTGTTTAATTTTCAATGTTTGAGCAATTGTCCTCTTTACACATGCACATTTAGTGACGACTAAATAAAACAAAGCACTCTGAAGGACCGCTTAATCCCCAACCGCAGCTGACTTCTTGACCTTTAGCCAACAAATTTTACCATGCATATTATAAGCACACAGTTTCATGATAGTAATTATTTGTGCTCTGTTATTTGAAGTCTTCCATAAAAGTAAAAAGTTATGGAAAACATTTAACATTGACCTTGCGGATAACAATCTGAAGTTCTGCACATCATGTCATAATTGTGATCATTTCTGCCAAGTTATCTTAAAAAACATTGCAGCGGTTAATATGTTATGGATAAGTCATGAAATGTAGACTTTTAACAATTGACCTTGACCTTGGAGGTAGCAACGCAATTTTTGCGCTCTGCACATCGTCTCATAATGGTGATCATTTGTGCCAAGTTATTTCAAAAAAGTTTCAGCAGTTTAAAAGTTATGGAGCGGATACAAAAGTGTTACGGACGGACAGACTGACGGACACATTGTCAGACGGAGGCAATTCCTACAATCCCTTCCCTCCCTGCAATGCGGAAAGGGATAAAAAAAAATAACAAATGGATACGTATATACGTGTATGCTATTTTAATGCAATGCTACAACCATGTTATAAGTGATTTACGGTGACTTTAACTATACAGTAAAGCAAACGCAGTCTTTCAAAGTAAATTTTTATTTAAGTTAATTTATTGGCATTGGTATTATAATATAAACAAATATACTTCAGATTTCAGTGTCAGCTGACCTTAAAATAATACAAATTTTTAGGATGACCACCAATGAAGGCATTATTATGTGGTTTTTTATCGGCCCGATGAATTTAAGCGGTATATAACCGTGACGTACATTTAACAGAACGAGCATTATACCGACAAACTGCAATCTTTTTTATTTATTTGTAGATTTGTATTTGAACAATTGATTTTTTTTCTGCAGAACTACTTTTATTTTTAAGAATTTGAACACAATGCTTTCCCATATCTCCTACCACGAATATCAATATTTTATCGATTATTTTCTTTTTGACTTTGTCGCTGCCATTTTCGATTCTGATATCTGCAATTTGGCTCATCCAATCAGATCGCGTATTTCAAACCCAGGTATCAGACTGTAAAATGGCTACGACAATTAACAAAAAAATACGTGAAACAGAAAAAAATCGGAATGATTTTGATATTTGTTGGACTTGAATTAGATAAGCTGTAGAATTCTAGTTCCTTTTATTGGTGTTAATGAATGATGCAAAGTCCCGCCGAAACGACGATTTCCCGTGTTCCACATTGTTTTGAAATGAACGTACAGAATGCTTTTCACCTTTCTATAACTATAATTTTGATAGTGGATTTTTTTTATATAATTTTATCGGTGGTTTTGTATTGGTACCTCATAGTAAGCCTTAGAGTGTTGAATCATTTTTTTCAGGGTTGTAGTATGGGTCCAGGGGCAGATAGGGGTGGATACACACTGATACTGCCACCTGTGCTATTTCTTTTTTTCTTTTTTGTAGAACGCGGTAGATAAAAAAATTGTGCACAAGTTGTAATAAATATACTATTTTGCAGTGTTTGTTGCACTTTGGTTCGAACTTTAGGGCATTTCCTTTACCTTATGTTGACGTTTTGACGTAACGTTTCACTTGTAATACCAAGACGTCAAAAAATTCGTTTTTCTGGCTATATACCCTTTTAATCACAGAAAAAGATATAGCAACTCAAGGGGGAGAATCACGCCGTTCGTTACCAAAACAAACAAGATGGCGGGTGCAGCCAAAAATTAAGTATTTCCCTTTCTATAAAACAGCTAAAGATGAACACTAACATACTTAGTGTCAACCTATATATTTGGCTTCATTTATATTCTCTTTATGACGTCTCTATATCTATTTTTACGGACGCGGTTCTATGAAGCAATATGAAAAATAGAAGGCTACTATGAATGGACTTTAATGTAGTATCAAAAAAGGCCAACGAAAGCGCATTTGCAAATTTATGCAATTGAATATTTTTACAATGGGTATTTTTCATATCAATGAATAACTCAATTACGGTTATTTGTTGAATGGTTGAATATCGGTACAATGTAAAACAAATATGTTGATCTAACACATACATGATTGTTTGTTGTTTGTAAAGGGGTTTTGCTTGGTTCTGTTATGACCTAACCGATCAGCAGGGAAAATGTTAATTAAATGCACGTAAAGTACTAGTAACGGCATTGACTTGAAACTAATAATGTTTATTTAATTGCAATCATATCATATATGTAAACATCCATTTCAATTACTTTTGTCTCTTAATGTTTTGTGGCCCGATTTTCAAGAATTACTTGAAGCGACTATCCGTGCATTAGGCCTATATCTGGATTACTTCTTACCAAGCTTTTTAAAGTCAAAGACCGAACCGCTCGGCTACGGAAGCGGCACCCCACCCGCATCAAACAATTAATTCTATACGATTCAACTACGGCGTAAGAGCTACAAAAATCGGGTAGCGATGCAAAGAAATAGTATATCAAAATAATGATTCAAAATATCTAGACTTTGGCAGCTAGCTACTTTTTTTGTAAAACGGGTCGAAACTGAAAAATCTATATTATGTAGTCAGTCAGACATGGTTGATATTGTTCAACAAGCGAGCATAATTTAGTAATCGTTTAAGAATACAAAGAAAGAGATGTTATGCTTACACTTGCATTGCTCCATGTTTTGTCTTCAGTAACTAGCAAGTACCCTGAAATGAAACATACATCTACAATTGAAACATTCATGTGTCTGGTAAAAACATATCGAATACCAAAAACCACTTTCATTTTATTGGCCTGTAAATAGCGAATAAGAATTGTTATTTTTTCGTTTTTTTTTTTTTTTTTCATTTTCTTTTTAAAGGCATATTCTAGGGGCACATATTGATATTTAGCAGAATGAAACTATAAAATAACAAAATGTAAGTTATCATTTGCATATGTGCTTTGAATTTGTTTGAAAATGTTTAAACGAAAAAGCGCATATATGTTTACACGGAAATAAAAATTAACACATGGTTGATTGAAGAAGATAATTATGTTAAAACGGAAATGCGCACAACGGAAATAGCAATTTACGCATGGTTAATTGAAGAAGATATATTTAAACGAAAATGCGCATTCTCCAAATCCCTTCAGAGGCGTGCAGGTCACGGAGAAGGCACACGGCAGATCAAGCTCAAATCTTCTCAATTACCAGGGATGATTAAATAACCTGCCATGACTAACTCTGGAGGATGGCGCCAGCAAGAGCCATTTTTGTTAGAAATGCCGATAGCTTGGAAATTAGTGTCGTCTCCTTCAAACACCAACGAGCTAATGATATGACAAGTCGCCGCTGATGTGGGCTCAATGATCGGACCAGCAAGAACGCAGATATTCTGGCCTATATGGTTAATTCCGCCGGCCAGTATAAATAACCCTATTATATTACTACTACATGGTTGATAAACCGTTTCTTGCATGAATAATTAGAAAATATTTTCAAAACACGTACAAAAGTTTAGCAGTCTGGTATGACATATATAGATTTTGAATTAATCTCCTTTAATTAAAACTAGATGAATTTAAAGTCACTAAGATAATGTCTTTTTATTGCAAACTTTGTGAAAGAAACATAAAAATATTCCTGTTAGTATTGAAAAAGGTTTTAGGAAAGTATTATATCTTCGCACTATTCAGAGCTTGTTTTCTTCCGAATATTTTATTTCTCCCTGTCTGTTTTACATGATCTGAAGGATTGATATGGTCTGTCTTGTAATTGTCAATCTTTTAAAATATAACAGGAAATACACAGAGATAGAGGGTTTAATCGAGAACGATGAAAATCAAACCTTAAAGGTCGTCCAAAATGGCATGATTGAAAATGTTGCAAGATTGGTTTGATTGAGTTTGGTCAATGAAAACATGTAAATGCAATATACCGTCTATGTACTGGCTCAATTAGATAACAACAAGAGCAGGTCGGACTAGGTGATGCTCCTCAAATAGGTCTTGGACACAGAAAAGTAGTTTCTTATTGATATCTCTTGCAGTTTCAGAGTTATGTTAGGCAAGGCAAATTAACGATTCTTATGCATGGCACTTCTAATTCAAAAGATTTATCTATCTAATACTAGTTAATTTCTTGTTGGTACCTTTTGTGGTTTCAGAGTTATGTCCCGGACGTTGTTTAAAAATGTAAAAAGAATGTAAATCAAAAATTAGGCAAGTGAGAGTTACTGTTCTTGTGCACTGCATTTCTAGTAAATGAGATCTATCTAACTTCACAGTTTTACCTTTTGAAGTTTTAGATTTATGCCCCGACAAGAAAATGCGAACGGATGGTCGGGTATACAGCTAGACAGACAAAGCGGCAACTATATGCTCTACCTCCGGTTAGCATAACAATGGTGAAATTTTGTAAATTTGTTCTAACGGCTGTTTCCATATGATCTTCAGTTTGACGCTTGAGAGTCATGACATGAACAGAAAAATGTCCAGAGGACACGGATGTCTCCACATTCTACTTTTGTAGTTTACGGCCGAATAGCGAGACGGGCACGCAAGGGCAAATTCTACATCCCAACTACCCAAGAAGTAAGAGCATAAAGAGATTTTAAGTATGGACTCTTCTTCAAATAATGCGTTTGCATGGAATATAGAGAGATGAATAAAAATTACGAAGTCTGCGTGTCACAGATAATTGAACAGTAACATAATTAATATAAAAATGAATATTTAAATAAAGAAAACTTGGCACCCTTAGGATCCACAACAATTAAGTAGGAGATAACTGGAACCATCTGCCAACAAACAGTTTATAACCTCATTTACCGTTTTCATCACGATACGATGTCACTATTTACTCAACCTATACAAATACAACTACAAGTTCCAGGAATATCAAACTTATTCTTACTTACACTAAGAAAAGAAAATGTATTATTACTTACTTTGTCGTTTAAAGTAGTACTGCATTCCATCCAGAGATGGGGCCGATGAATTTGTAAGAACTTTGTCACTGCATCCCACACAGTGCATATTAGCTTCGTCGTGGAACACGCCAAAACACGAAGAGCTATCTGCACACGTGATAAGACACTGCTTTTATTCAACTTATCTTCTTCAAAATCCTTATTCATTGTGGGACAAGTAAACCCTTCCAGATCGGCGTTTTTCGTAAACTTTGTAAACTGTATGTTTTGACAGGCTATAAGTATAACAAAGCCTTCTAAAAGAAACAAACAGATATTAAAGCAATATTTCTTCATGTTGCCTTTGCACAATCTATGAAGTTATTGCCAGCAAAGTAATGTGAATGTGTTAAGTCTTTCAGCCGATAAAATTTGACAAGAGGGTCATGATGGCACTGAATCTTTCACCTGAGATAAATTGCTAGAAAGGATAAAGCCAGTAATGAAGACATATTGGATTTGTCTTTTTTCTCCAGACTACATAACTGTAAGATAAGTGATCCCCAGGGAGTTGTCATTTTTAACCAAGGGGACATGACTAATACGTCATTTGTAGCCGTCCACTTGGCAATGCTACATGCTAAATTTCTAAGGTCTTGAAAAAGGTTATCAAAGATCTTGGCATTGTCATTTCAAAGAAGCAGAATTTTAAGATAGTTTTACTTAACAAGTCTATGTAAAATAAGTGACACACAGAACGCGTCAAATTTTGATCCCAGGGGCATTTCTAATACAATCTGTGTAGAGGTTCACCAGGCAATGCTACTTGCAAAATATCAAAGCTATTGACATTGTACTTTCAAAAAGAAAACTTAAAAGTATTTTCCTTTACAAGTCTATTTAAATAAGGTGACTTCCAGGGCGGGACAAATTTGACCCAAAGAGCATGATTTATATAACTTTTGTGCAGAAAAACAATGTAAAATATCTAAGCTCTTGGAATTTTCATTCAGAGAGAAGATATTTGAGACAATTTATTTAATTATACAAGTCTTTGCAAAAATGTGACCCTAAGGCGGCCATTTTTGACTCCAGGGGCAAGATCTTTATTGTACAGGACCATAAGGCGATGCTACATGCCAAATACCTATATTCTTGGTATTGTAGTTTCTGAGAAAATATTTTTAAAGATCTAATTTTTCAAATCTATTTTAGCTCCTGTAACCTAATTATACATCAGACTAGAACCATTTATTATACATAACTTTTGTAGAGGACCACCTAATGATCTTTCCTATAAAGTTTGACTAAATTCCATCAGGTGGTTGTGGACAACGACGGACAACGAACGACGAACACACTAACAACCAAAAAGCTCAAATCTGAGGACTTTGTGCTCAGGTGAGCCATTAATGCAAAATTTTAAATAAAGTGCTCGACTATTGTTATCATTGTAATCTTAAAATGTTTGTTTTATTATTAGTTACATAAATTATTTAAGATGAATATTTTAGAAACTCTCTACAGACCAAATCAAATATGTTTTGATCAGTTACTCTGGGCAATCTGTGAACAATCTGTAAACATATTGATGAGTCTTTTTACCGACCTATTACAATTCATATTGTTATTGTCACGACGCAAATGTCACTCATACGAATCTCCTATATTTGTGAAATACGTACAAAACATAATGATTGTGTGACAAATATTTAATGAGCATAACGGAAACGAACGTTAAATTGCACATAGTACATCATTATATACAGCATAACTTGTGAATGCAATGATGTGTAGAAAAAAAATGCTGGTAATCAGACATTAATTTATCGATAAATGAGGATGAATAATACCATTTTAAAATTAGTTCAACATTGTATTGAAAAGTTAGTGTGAGTACCCACCGACATATAACATTTACTTTACGCATTTAGGATATCAAATAGCTGGGAAAAGGGCAATGGGGTACCTGGTATCTTTTATTTGTTCTTAACATTTTGTCACTAAAAAAACACAGTTTTAGATTTGACTGAATTCTTTGTAATAATTATACTGATTCGCATCTAAGTTTATTTTTATAGAACACTTGGTCAAATTAACTGAAATCAAAAGTTATAAAAACTATTTACGAGAATTAAATTTATTTATCTAACAATTTACTACGCATTCCTTCGACAACATCAGTCCCGCCTTAAGTAGCTTTTAGACAGAAAAAAATCTCAAATGTCCGTTTATCAAATCTTTAAGCATTTGCACTTTTGCTCGAGAGTCGGCAAAGTTTTCTTTATACATTTATATGGTATAGACCGAAGGATCAAATATGTTTTAGGTTTGAAGACAATCCCTAGAAGAGAGAGTAAAATAGCATTTTATTAAGAAAAAGCATTTCAAGGGGGAAAACTAATTCTGGAAATATTGCTTCTTCTGCAGTGGTGATGATGATAAACATATTTTACTGCAGAAGAAATCAAATCAGGAATCGCCGGACTGAGTTAGATAGCTCTCCATATACTCTGTGCTAAAACAAAAAGTTAAAATAGCAGATTCTGTTGTTTTTGTTAAGTTGTTCACGAGGGAAGCCTCCGATCACGGGTTAAGGCTTTAAATGCGTCTCGGTGTTTCTGCAGATGTTCATGCTGTAGATGTAAATACACGAATAAAGTTGTCCGTTTGAAGAATGTTTAGCTAAAGGCCTTCAGTGTACCCGTTTTTATATGATATGACTGGACTGTTATACTAAAGACATAGGGAAAATCCACCAATAATCGTGCTAAGAATCAGACTTTGACGTAGGGAAAATCCTCCAATAATCGTGCTAAGAATCAGACTTTGACGTAGGGAAAATCCTCCAATAATCGTGCTAAGAATCAGACACGCTTGTATTCATTCATGTAGCATGCCATGGAGTGTAATGAAGCATATGTTGATAAAAACATATATAATCTATCAATAAGCCAAGTATCAACATATAGAAATAGTGATTTCGAAACAAAAACTACCAACTTAAAAAAAACTTCAGCACTTTGCCGTCATCTTGGCGAAATATTTGATCCCGTGATCACTGGTTAATTTTGACTGACGGTTAAAGTTACGCAAAAACATTTTTTTCTTTAAAAAGGACAAACATAAACTTTAAAATGTTTGAATAATGGTTTTAAAACATTTAAGATGAATGCTTATTATCTGAATAAAGGAGCACTGTTAGTGAAATTCTTTGTCATGAAAATAAAAAATTGTAAAAAAGTATTTTTTGACTTCCATCAGTTAAAACTAAACTAACTTTCAGAAAGTAATAGAAGCAAAGTATAATTTAGGTAATTGGTCAATGAGCAACTTTCTGAAAACTATATCAGATCACCAAATTTAATATATATAAGCTTTTGAGAAACAAACAAACAAAAGCTTTTCTGGGGCATAATGGGAAACAATACCATGTGCTTTTGAGTGTTGAGAAATTACTTTTTTCAGAAATCAGAACACAACGTTTAAGGGGAAGTAACTCAATTACAAGTCTGAAATAGATGACCTTTCTTGATAGCATGTTAACTGTTTGTTATTTGACCATATTTGAGACACCTGTCTTATGACAGCAATTTTACAAGACAAAAACTGTCAATAAGATTTGTATTAGAACTTTATTTGTCACATTATTTTCTTAAATAAATTTATTGCTTTAAGTAACAAAGTCGATCTCATCTCCGCATATCTTTTAATGTAAAAGTCAGGCAAGTATAAACAAAATATAAAAATGCGAAAAAAATGAATGATGTACATGTAGTTTTCCAAGCTATCATCTCATTTAACTACAAATTAAAGGTAACGTTATTCACATTTAATTATTTTTTCTGTTTTTCATTCGTTCTTTGTCGAACTATCATTGCTTGTGTTTAAGTGTTCATTTGTATCCAAATGATTTGCTTTCATTTCGGCGCTATGATTTTTGGATGGCTTAGAATTTTATTAATTCAAAACAGTTTTTAACAGTTTTTATGAAGAAGTTTACTTGCAATTATTTTTCATGGCAATCAATAAGAAAATACGTGTGCCTGTCAATGAAAATCTTTTAAATACACTTGCGGAATCTTGAAGTGAAGTTTTATCTATACGAATTTAAATAATTTAGGGAAAGGTATATGAAACAATAGATTAACAGAGAGCTGTTTAATCTTGTCCAAGTTACGTTTTCTCAGTGGGAAATTATTTATCATACCAGAAGCATTCGCTCTGTGTCAAATGTTTTATATACTCGGTATTTTTTTAAAAGATTTTTAGTATTTATTTATATTGCTAGCACCAGATAGTTAGCCTATTGAGGTAGTAATATTATATTACCAAACACACAGACTAATGTACTTTTAGGCAAAGATACGGAACTTGACTTGTTCCTTTAAATATGCTATTCAATTACTATATGAAAGTGATCCGTATTTTTGTAAATGGTTTCCTATATAACCTATGGATCTCTTTAGCACATATGGAGCTCAGATGAAAATTTGATCAGCAATTACTTTATTTTGAAACCAATCTCAATAAATGTTTTATTAAGTGTTTGTTTGAATGTTAAGCATCGTTTGGTGGTAAGATTTTGTGAAAACTCTGTATTTTGAGTCCGTTGAGCGACATTTTCTTTATAGGTACACCAGAACCTACTACGGAAAGAATATCTCAATAAAGACTGAATAAAATCCAAACGAAAATAGGCAAATATAAAGGAAAGCCAGGAGGGTATAATCACATTTCGATTTTGTTATAACAACCTTGAATTTTATATGTTTAAAATGTTTAAACTTTTCCTGTGATTAAACTTTTTTCTCCTTCACATATCGAGTTATTTAAAGCGCACATCTGGAGCAGCGGAAATTCCCGATGCTTAATTATAAGATCCACATATGGTTCCGACTCCGGGATACAGTTAGTAGACTAAGCTAACTAGATTAGGAGGGGGCTTCCTTGAGGTATTCTCAATAATATTATACTGAATATACTTTAGTTTTAAATTATTTTGATCCCATATACATGTACATTTAAGTGCATCATATACAGGTACTGACAGTATTTCAGAAAATAAATGTTGAAAAACAGATATCTAGCGATAGAGATGGTCCCATTAAATTTTATGTCAGAAGTTGAATTGTATCAAAAGTTTCGACTATCGAAGGAGTGTGCACATTTTAACACGGAATGATACAAGCAGTATGGACTATTAAGAGTGTATATACAGCTCGTGGGGTACCAGTACTTATGCCATAAAAAAAGAGAAGATTTGAAAATTTCTTGAAATAATTTTATCCATGTAAATTTGCTGTGTTTGTCAATGTGACCCTCGATGTTTCTGTCGATGATCCCCGGATGATTTGTCGTATGCGTCTAAATATAGGCCTATATAAATGTTGTTTATGTAAATATAAACAAATGTCATTTAGTAATTTATTGTTTTGTTTTTGAAATATTGAAAAATGGCAATTAGATACAAGTTCTATCACGCTGTTTAAATAAATTAAATTAAACAGTCTTGTAATATATAACGTACTTAATACAGAATCATCATTATTTAGTAGATGAATTGATCATTTGTAGATAATGACATCTCTATTATGTTCAATTTTCGGAACTACAGTTGGAGTTGTATTGCTCAAAATAATTCAGATTATTGAGTTCTTGTTATTTCACTCAGGATCATCTCTGGCTCCAGAATAAGGGTATTTACTAAAGCGGCCTGCCACAATTACAATATGACACATATAATTTATTTTCTTACATAATATAATATCCTAGGTTATACTCTAGCATACATTTGTAACATTTCAGTCGCACTCTGTGCTTTCAGCACTTTTATATGCATCCTACGTAGGAGTTATAAATAAAACGGCGGGGTCGCGGAACTAAAGACATATGTTTTTTGTGACAAAAACCCTTTTAGTTAGAATGCATTGGTAATTAGAATTACAAATCTATAAAACAATGATAATTGGAATTTCAAATTTATTAAGTAATAATAATTGGAATTACAAATCTATATAAAGCATTGGTAATTAGAATAACATATCTATAAATCATTGATATTAGAATGAGCATTGATAATAAGAATTGCAAATCTATAAAGCATTGATAATCAGATTAACATGTCTGTAAAACCTTGATAATTAGAATAAAAATCTCTCAAGCGTTGATAATAAAAATTACAAATCTATAACGCATTGATAATTACAATAACAGATTTATACAGCATTGGAAATTACAATAATAGATCTATACAGCATTGATAATTAGAATAACTCAACTATAAAGTATTGATAATTAGGATAACAAATCTAAAAAGAATCGATATTAGAATAACAGATCTATAAAGCATTGATAATTAGAATAACTTATCTATAAAGAATTGATAATTAGAATTACAAATCTATAAAGCATTGATAATGTGAATAACAAATCTATAAAACATTTATAATTTCAATAACAGATCTAGAAAGCATTGGTAAGTAGAATAACTGATCTATAAAGTATTGTAGTTATGTATAGGATTAAATCCTGATATTAATTCATTTTGTATGAAAATTGAAATGACCATTAAATGTGCTATTTATATGTTTTGTTTGCTATACCTCTTGCAAAACAAATTTGTAAGGTTGGTGAGGCAGGGTTGGATGGTAAAACAGGTTTTTGGGTGTCTGTAGACACACTTATTATGTGTGCTTCTCAAAAACCTCCACACATTTTGATAAAAAAGTGACCGGCATTAATAAGCATGAAATCTACTTGCACATGTCTAAATTTGACATAGACCTTTAAATGACATTGACCTACAAGGTCAAATCCTTTAATTTTGCTTAAAATGTAAATTGGTAAAAAATAGATGATTTGTAGGCTACACTTTAGAATCTGTTCGCAGCAATTCTTGACAGTATGATTTTACCCATGTATTGAATACTATCAGATTATTTCTACAAAATCACTCAGATTACTTCTTGGGTTATAGGTTATGGGGTTATGTGGCTATGGTTTGGATTTTATAGCACGGATTGTCCTGTGGACAGATTCTACAAGTGCTCAGAAATCTATTTATTCATTGACAAAACAACCCTTTGGAAAATGCCTTTTAGACGGTTAAACTTAATCTGACCTTTATATGACAATGACCTTTATGATACATTATTGCATTAGCCTTAACTATTATTTATTGATTTGATGCATACAACACTGATGTCAGATCTGCCATGAAGAATAATTATTTAGACCATCAATAATTTAATAGATTTTTTATCTGTAAATTAAGACTTTGTGTTAAAATTTGAAATCGAAGCTTTAGAATTATATGGGCTTAATTTATCAAGCTTATGTTTTGGCCAATGAATTCGGAAATGTTCTATGTGATACTACTTTCGTAATAAGATAACCTTGTCCGAATCCCCATATTTTATTTGTCATCGTGTAAATAGACTGTATGCATGTGCATGCATTTAAAATTCAGTTTCACTTTTAATGTGATATTGTTGTCAATTTATCTAATACGTATTAGTTGTTTTGAATTGGAGGATTGTAAATATTTTATTTGCTCGTATCAACACGTCTAGGTTTTCATAATACATTTAATCATATAATCAGAAACCATAGTCTTTTTTAACACTGTTATTTTCCTACTGAAAAGGCATCATCCATCAAAAACATATCTCAATGTCTGTTTGAAAAGTCTAATTAGTTGGACAATCGATTATACCGCCCCGGTTATTCTAGCATGCAAGTAAAATACGGATTTGGACTAATGTTTTGGTGACAAATATAAATTTAGCAATGGTTTTAATGGGAATCAAGTGCATGTTTTTTTATCGGACATGTAGAAACGTGTTACAATAAAATGTGCACCCAAAAATAAACCAGAAGTAATGTTCAAAGAAAAACTTTCATTTCACGCTTTTGCATTTATTAAAGACAGATTTTCCTGTAAACTATATAGACGTGTCTGAAACCCGTCTAGATCGACTAGAATTTTAAACCCTATCTTGCATGTATTTAGCCTGAATTCTGTTGTAAAATATGTAGACACTTGTATATTAAAGGGACTCAACTGAGGTTTTTTACATGATGGGACTGGCACTTTTTTATTTCATTTGATGTACGTATAGACCCACAACTTGGGTTCATTCTCCGTTTTTCCAGGACTATTTTCTTGTTAAGGGATGACCCATTGTCAAAAAATATACAGTGTACGTAATAACTGAATTTTATAGTCAATTTAGTTAAAGTTAGTATTTGAAAGAAAGTAAAACAATACTTATACCAATTCCTCTCCAGATATCGTTTATTTAGTTATTGAGGAGACAAAAATAGGGCTAATTAAAAGAGTGTCTTAATCCGGACTTTGTATTTGATCTGAGTATATTTTACATAACCCGGACTTCACAAGACACTGAATCAATCTTATTAAGATCTTATGGAGACCAAGTATAACCAATTACATTGTAATCAAGGTACATATACTCTTACAATAACCATTTTATTATATGTCTTCTCGAATATTTGCATTCGAAATGTAATGGTTTTACATGTATCACAATATAAAATACAGATTTTATTACTAGTATTTTTTTCTTCCTGTCCGATCTTGTCACTATAATTAATACGTACAGTGAATGGAGCAAACTTACAGGTACTATAGAATATAATAAAAAACAACAACAACACAAATTAATTATGGCTGCATCAATCTGCAAGAACACTTTTTTGTTACCGTACATTTGTAACAAGAAATATCTTTAAAATAAAAACTGGTAAAACTGCTTTTATATGGTCTATTTCGGTATGCACATAGTGCATCTTGGATCGTGGACATTATTCAATATGGTAGTCTCCTCATTTTAGAATGTCATTCATTTATAACTCGGTAAATTCATATGTTGAATAAGATATTCACCACGAGTTAATAACTGATTTTTTTAAAACACTGGGAGGAAGTTCCCAGATTTCAAATATCCGAGACATTTAACTAGAAATTTTGTTTCTGATACTCCTTTAGAGTATTCTATAATTTGGACATGTATATATATATATGTGTGTATGTTTCAGAAAGACCTTTTAGATAATTACACTAATTATAGAATGGACAATGAGATTCATGGATTTTAAAATCCTTCGGATATATTTAGTTCTTCCTTATAAAATTGTACCGACAGTCAAACCGATATCAGACGGACTTCGCCAAAAAATTTAAACTATTCAAATTCACACAAGCTCCAGAAAACATCATGGCAACCATAATCGTGCCAAGACCATTCATTGTCCCAACTCAGCATTAATACGCACATCTCGTTTGGGTCGTCCAATGGTTGACTTGGTCCCCATTTCACGAAATAGTCAGAGATGGGTGTACCGTATTCCCAGTAAAATGTTCCTCCACTTGTGTTGCGCGATGCTCCTATCCAGGTGGCACTATTATAGTCTGAAACGATAAAAATTTACATTTTTAAAATATATATTAAAAAATTATTAGGTGTTTTAAGAAAAGGCATAGTATGCCTTAAAACGAACAAATTCTTACCTCCTTAGAAAGGGCAAACATGAATATTTTAATAATGGTTTTGGAGCATGTAAGATGTTTGTTACCTAAAAGAAATAGCGCTAAATGTTAAAACATTTGTAATAAAAGAAGTAAAATGTAAACAAATTATTTTGACATCCATACAAAATGCTAAATCCCTATAACTATTCTAATTGGCAAAATACAACAGAAGAAAATGTTCGTTCAGGTAATTGACCAACGAGTAACAGGTTAAAAACTATAAAAAGTACAAAGCCTTTGAGAAATAAAAATGATATAATTTCTGGGGCATAATGGGCTTTTAGGTTACAGCCAAAACATCACAGAATACCGATGTTTAATGCAGAACTGGAGAACGTTGTTCGGAAAGATTACTTGAATTTAATGCGTTAATTAGTTATTATTTCTTCCATATAACTGATCTTTTACGCATGGTTGTATGATTTGAAAGCCACTCCATGCTTACTCCCAGGCAAGCTCTTTTGGTGGATCCGTTCACACGCTCTAGGGTAGCTGAATGGTTTCATTACTGAAGAGATTCAATGTCTATAGTGAAATACGAACCCATATTGGAAATGAGTAAATTACTCACGGCCTGTGACCCTGACCATTGGTTCACGTGTGTTAAAATGTGGAGCCAAGATATTAAAACTTTAACTGGTCAATTACATGAATAATAAAAACATGCATGATATTAAAAAGAACTTACCACTGTCGAACACTTGATCCTCTATATATATTTCTTCCTCTTCTGATGTTATGTCTGCTAAATGTCCACCTAAAGTCTGACAGTGTAACTAAAAAATAATACCATACAAGTCATAACCAGCAATAAATTTTGATTAATTATTGTCGTCAATGCTTAATAATTATAAACATATCTATCAAATCAATTTATAAAAATATAAACAATCAGCCGATTTTGAGATAACAGAAATGACATAATGACTAGGAACAATTGATTATGACTGTTGTCAACAGTAGAACAGATAAAAACAACACTTGTATGCTCGTTTCATTTAATCATTTCAGACCGGAAAAAACGACAGTTTGTAAAGTTCACACTTTAATGGACTATCTATATAATTATGAACAATTGTGTTATGTACACGGTGTGTGTGTGTGTGTGGTGTGTGTGTGTGTGTGTGTGTGTGTGCGTGCGTGCGTGCGTGCGTGCGTGCGTGCGTGCGTGCGTGCGTGCGTGCGTGCGTGCGTGCGTGTGTGTGTGCGCGCGCGCGTGCGTGCGTGCGTGCGTGCGTGCGTGCGTGCGTGCGTGCGTGCGTGCGTGCGTGCGTGCGTGCGTGCGTGCGTGCGTGCGTGCGTGCGTGCGTGCGTGTGTGTGTGTGTGTGTGTGTGTGATTCGATGAAGTAATGTAATTATAAGACCTTTATTCCCAGAAAAATTGGAACATAGAATGTCTGTGTTATCTAACACACATGAATAATGTACATAAACAGAATGAAATGTTCCGGAACAAAATATTGTTTTGCTATTTTAAGTATAGTTTTATCCGTTTAACAATGACGTTGAGCATATCAGCATTTTGGAAGTATTCTTTTTTTTTTAAAAATTCAAAAAATAATTTTTGCATCAGATATATAGCTTTATACACCTTTAACTTAGAATGGAGAAGACGCAATTTAAAAAGGGACAACTCAATTATGGTAAAGGATTGAATATCGGTACAATGTATATGTTAAATAAATATGCTGACCTAACACATACATATGTTTTTGTTGTGGTTGTTTGTAAGGGGTTTTTCTTTTTCTTTTTTTCTGTTTGGTTATCTTTGCTATTTTTTCTTCTTTTTGTTTTGTCTTGCTTTCAGTCGTGTAACACCGCACTTTAGGGTCCAACGCACTTTTGGGTCAAAATCGAGAAATTGACCCCAAAGTGCGTTAATATGTTACATATCAACGCACTTTGGGTTCCAGGGGTCTAAAGGTGTCAATTGAGTTCTGCTTAAATACTGAGTACTGACCGATCTGCGACATTGAAATATTTGGGATGGAGATCAAGATGGCGGTCGATACTTTGTTTGATGCTTAAGTGATAAAAGTTTCATTAATTTTACCACTTGAAATGTCTAAATATTATGTTCATATAACAAAGTACTCTAGAACATAAACTGTGGATGTATTCCTTATATTAAAAGTTGCCGCGAAAAATATCCCGTTCTGTCAGTTATTTATTTGATAACTTTTGGTGCCCATTTTAAACATGATGGGGTTGAAATAAAATGCAGTTTGTTTTTCTAAAGAACTATAATTATACTCTATAACAATGTTCTGGTGAAATATCAATATTTTTGATATGACTATAAATAGTGATTTTTACACATACATGTACATTGTTAAGCTTATAAACAAACTTAAGGTGTTTTTTTCTTTTGTAAGCTCCGTAACAACCGTTCGCCAGAGGCTTTTTTAAATGGGATATCTAACATACTTCTTTAGAAAGAGCAAACATGAATTTTATAATGTTAAAATAGTGGTATCAGAGAAATGTAAGATGCATGTTACCTGAATAAAGTAGCGAAATAAGTGTGAAATTATTTGGTCATAAAAGTAGTCAAAACAATGTAGTATTATATAGAGGATATTCAATGAGTGTAAGTTCAATACTGAATTTATTGAACGAGTTGAATAAAATTATATTATGCGAGCCTCTGGCGAGCATAATATTATTTTATTCAACGAGTGCAATAAATTCAGCAATCAACTTACACGAATTTAATATTCTATTTATCACATACCCAAAATAAAGACCGTTTAAAGTGAAATAAGAGTCATTTTTCATTGACGCGCCTATAGTATAACGCTAACATTTAGCGCGTCTTTACACTCTAATGACGTCACGTCAAAATGTATGCACGGCCGTGCAATACCATATTTACAGAGTCGCAAAATCGGCACGGGTGTGTGACAAACTTCCATATTAAATACTAATTCACTATAACTGTATTCATCCTTGCCAAAAAGCAACAGATGAAAAAGATGGTTCAGATAATTGGACAATGTGTATTTTTTTGGATATTATAGAAGATCATCAAAATAAAAAAGCTTTTAAGAAAAACAAATAAAAGCATAATGAGCCATTATTTTTAACACTCCGGGGGATCGATACCACACAAACCCTTCTATATTCCCAGTGAGAATTTTACATTATAATAAATGGCTCTTTCAACATATTATCAGGCACATTTTTTACTGATTTTCCAGAATTTATACCTTTGTCTATGCTAACTCTATCATATTTTTATTAAATATGTAAATATAAAAACGGGAAAATGATGCAATTAGCTAAAAACAATGGAGTTAATGAAAGGTGTAGATTCTTTTAAAACAAATGGAAAAATTGAAAAAATATATTTTGAGCTTAATAATTGATAAAAATACTTTATATGATGAAAGTTCTTCACTTACTGATCAAGACCATTTAAATCCCTAAAGTAAATTGATTCTACTTTAATTCAGGACACATGTTTTGCGTCTATTTAATACCTTGGAAGTTTGTTTACCATTGGATTTGACTACAATATATTATTTAAAACGGTCGTTTGTGTGATGTTAAAAAATGCATATGTACCTGTTTAACGCACTTTAGGGTCGAAATTGGACCCCAAAGTGCGTAACGCACTCTGGGGTCGGACCCCAAAGTGCTTTTGACCCCAAAGTGCGGTGTTGCACAGCCGCCCAGATACTTAATGTTTTGTGGCCCAATTTTCAAGAATGACCTGAAGCGACTCTCCGAGCATTAGGCCTATTTCTGGATTACTTAAAAAATATAGACAATGGCAGCTAGCTACTTTTTTGTTAAACGGGTAGAAACTGAAAAATCCATATTCTGTAGTCAGTCAGACGTGGTTGAAATCGTTCAACAAGCGAGCATAATTTAGTAATCGTTTAAGAATATAAAGTTAGAGAAGTTATGCTTACACTTGCATTGCCCCATGTTTTCTCTTCAGTAACTAGCATGTACCCTGAAATGAAATATACACGTACATATGTAGCATTCCTGTGTGGGTGTGTCGGACCGTATATGTCACGGACCAAATATGGCACACGTATGAAATATCTTCAACGCGTTCAATCGTCATTTTGAAAATGGCCATGATTGTTTGAGGCATAACATAACTTTTAAGGAGCAAGTTATAAATGTGGAGTGAACAGAACGCCATTCATACTATCTCCGCTGTAAAATTTCACATCTGGTTTGCAGCGTAAAGAAAATGATTTAAGAAAATGTTCAAAAATCGTGTTTTCGTGATTAAAAAGTTTTGATGTTGCTCATATCTAAGTCAAGGCGTAAAATAACAAGTTTTATTTAGATTTAGTGGTATAATGCCATTTGTAAAGTACATGTTGAAATCGCGCTTTGTGCGCGTAAGATAAACTTACAAGTTTCATGACCATGCCCTAGTTCAAATACTGTTGATGCTACACACGACACAAGTTGACTGTTTCCTATTTGACTATGCCAAGGGCAATAACTCTGGAATGACTGCCCGAATCAACGTTCGACCTCTAACTAAATATTTATGGAGCAACACTTAAGATTCCGGGACGGACAGAATATTTTATCTTCAAGTCAATAAATATTAATGCCCAAAATATTTCGAACATATTTCCGACAAAGCCAGTCACTGAGTATTGACACCGTGTCATCTTACTGGTAAAATGATAAACAAGGCGGCATGGTTTTAAACAAATATATTACTAATTTACGATGACGATGATGATGATGTTGTTGTTGTTGATGATGATGATGATGATGATGATAATGTATGATGATGATGATGATGATGATGATAATGTATTATTAACGTTGTTGAAGCTATGTTAAAACGGCGATGATAATGTTTGTTTACTGTGTAAAATGTGTGACATATACGGTCAGGTATTTAATACCAAAGTGCAGACACGTATATGGCACATAAAAACATCTGTTATTAATTCGGCCGAATATGTCCCACACGTGTGACATGTACGTTCCGTGACATATACGGTCCGACATGGGTATACTAAAACCACCTAAATTATATTGACATGTAAAGAGCGAATATGAATTGTTATTTCTATTTCAATTTTAAAAGTGTATTCTAGGGACACATAGACATTTATTAGAATAAAACTATATAAAATAAGATATAATTAGAATGATATTTTCAAAACACGTACTTATGTTTAGCAGTCTGGTATGACAGATATAAAATTTAAATCTGCCTGTCATAAATAGCTGCAAAATGACATAATAGATAAATAAATAAATAAATAAGTAGGAGATAACTGGGACCAATTGTCAACGAACAATTTCTAATTCCACTAACCGTTTTTTATCACGATACGATGTCACCATTAACTCATACAACTGAACGTTCTAGAAATATCAAACTTATTCTTCCTTACACTAAGTAACTTAAATCTAATAATTACTTACTTTGCTTAAAGTGGTACTTCATTCCATCCAGAGATGGGGCTGATGAATTGGTAAGAAATGTGTCATTGCACCCCACACAGTGCATATTAGCTTCGTCGTGGAACACGCCAAAACACGACGAGCTAATAGCACACGTTGTCAGGCACTGTATTTTATTCAACTTATTTTCTTCAAAATCCTTATTCATTGTGGGACAAGTAAATCCTTCCAAATTGGCATTTTTTGTAAACTTTGTAAACTTTATGTTTTGACAGGCTATAAATATAACAAAGCCTTCTAAAACAAATAAACAGATAGTAAAGCAATATTTCTTCATGTTGCCTTTTGCACAAACTATCAAGTAATTACCACCAGCAATGTGTGCAGTCCTTTAGTCGATAAAATTTGACAAGAGGGTGATGATGGCGCTGAATCTTTCACCTGAGATACATTGCTAGAAAGGATAAAGCCAGTAATGAAGACATATTGGGTTTGTCTTTTTTTCTCAAGACTACATAATTGTAAAATAAGTGATCCCCAGGGAGTAGTTATTTTTAACCAAAGGGGCATGACATATACTACAACATTTGTAACTGTCCACTTGGCATTGCTACAAGCTAGATTTCTAAGGTCTTGGAAGTTTTGTTTCTTTTTCACAAAAGAAGACTTAAAGGTACTTTTCTAAACAAGTCAAAATAAATTAAGTAGCAACGGGGCAGGGCCAATTTTGACCCAAGGGGCATGATTTATATAGAGCCTTTGTAGAACACCACAAAGTGATTATACAAGCAAAATATCTAAGATCTTGACATTGTACTTTCAAAAAGAAGACTTACAAGTATTTACCTTTACAAGTCTATTTAAACTAAGTGACCTCCAGAGCGGGACCAATTTAACCCAAAGGGCATTATTTATATAAATTTTGTACAGGAACACAAGGTGATGATTCATGTAAAATGTCTAAGCTCTTGAAATTTTCATTTCAGAGAGAAAATATTTGAGACAATTTATTTTATTATGCAAGTCTTTACAAATTGTGACCCTAAGGCGGGGCCAATTTTTACACCAGGGGCAAGATCTTTATTGTACAGGACCATCAGGTGATGTTACGTGTCAACTATTCTTGGCATTGTAGTTTCTGAGAAAATATTTTTTTTAAAGATCTAATTTTTAAAATCTTTTTTAGCTCCTGTAACCTAATTATACATCAGACTAGAACCACTTATTACACATAACTTTTGTAGAGGACCAGATAATGATTATTCCTGTAAAGATTGACTAAATTCCATCAGGTGGTTGTGGACAACGACGGACAACGAACGACGAACACACTAACAACCAAAAAGCTCAAATCTGAGGACTTTGTGCTCAGGTGAGCTAATGAAACGCGCCATTAATGCAAATTTTCAATTAAGTGCTTGACTAAATGAAGAGATATTTGCAATCATTCTTCTAATCATGAAATGTTTGATTTATTATTAGTTTCATAATTTCATATGAATATTTTAGAAACTCTCTTCAGACCAAATCAAATATGATTTGAGCAGCTCAATCTGGGCAATCTGTAAACAATTTATAACATATTGGTTTCTTTTTTTTACCGACCTATAACAATTTGTCTTGCTATTTTCACGACGCAAAATGCCACTCTATACGAATCTCATATATTTGTGAAATACGATCAAAACATAACAATGGTGTGACAAATATTTAATGAGCATAATAGAAATGAGCGTTGAATTGCAGATAGTACATCATCATTTACAGCATAACTTGTAAAACATCAATGCAATGGTGTGGGGGAAAATACTAGTAATCAAACCCCCTGCAAGGTATATTGTTCAGACTTTGTAATGGATGCGCATTAAATTTTAGTTCAACCGGCCATTACACGATACATTTGAATTGCAAAACCACTAGGAAACCAATTTAACATTTGATGCGGAAAATCATGAAAATAGTTGTATAATACATGTAATGTGAAGCATGTCAAGAGAAAAAAATGAGTATGGAACAGAGCTTTGGAAAGTTAAATCTGTGTTTTAAAGCATTACACATCATATTTCATTTTGAATAAAAAAAAATCTGAAAACAAATGAGCCGCACCATGACAAAACAAAACACATTGTAACAAACATTGACGAAATGATAAAACAAATTCCTTTCATTACAAAATAATATTTGAACCGCACCATGACAAAACAAACATAGTGCTATCAGTTTCTCTACGTGTAAAAGGATTTTGTACGCGAACAGAATTAAGCCTTGCGCAGACTGGTCTGGACCCATGCTGGTCGCAGACGCACTATGATTGTTTTGTCATGGCGTGGCTCAAATGTTATTTTGTAATGAAACCTTGGACTTTGTGTTATCATTCCGGCAATATTTTATTTGTGACAATTATCTTTTTGTCTAGTACATTTGTATTTTAACGTTTCACTTAAAAAGCACACTAACGCTAACGTTACAAATCATACTGATTCACTACATAGTAGTATATCTGATGATGAAAGAGGTAACAAACTAACAATAGGTTACTTGAAGTAGCAATCAGAAACTGGTTAAAGTACTGGTATGTCTAGAAAAAAGGCATATTGAAAAGCAAATGACAAGCAACAAAAAACAAACAAAAATCACATAGCAGATGTCAGCAGCGGCACAACGTTGGACATGGCCATGAGAAACAATACAAGACCGCATGCCAATATATGGGACAAAATGTCATTGGAAATCGATGCAAAATCATAGACTTCACCGACTGACATGCCTACCAGTGGTAAATTTACAAATTCAGATAAATTGACCATTCTTCTTACTGTGAACGACGGTTTCTGTCTGGTGGTGGCAATTAGCAAACTAAATATAAATGTGTACGTTACAATTATAGCTGAGGATGACATCGTGTTTTGATAAACTTTAGAAACAATACACGATGATACCAGCTATATTTAGGAGCTGGATTTTAAACATGTCTTCAGCCTGTATGATAACATGCTAAGTTAAAAGACGAGGTTGTAAACCAGACCAAACATACATTATCAAATGTCTTGAACAATCAAAACATGTTTTATATGTAGACATATATGCATATAGTTTCTTAAAAATCCGTTTAAAATTTAATAGGTTTGATATGCGGGCACATTCGGAAAAAAAATCAGCTATCCTCTGCAGTGGACTTATGACAATAAGAAGTAAACAGTGAATGTAATGAAACAGTGGTATTCAAAATTAAACCTGTCCGCTTTTAATCATGTCCTAAATAAATCAAACCTTAGAACGAATCGTTTAAGTGGAAAAAAATGCCCGGGGACCTGAATTTTCTGGCATGTCATAGAAGCAAAGATCTTAAGTAGTTTTATACCATGCAACATACTGTTTTGGACATGAACGTAAATATAAATTCTTCAAGGAATGGAAACTGTGGGCGTTGGCGTAAAGATTACCTGTATAGGTAAAGCGAGACACGTGTGTTATATAAAACGCTTTAAATATTCCTATGTTTGTTATACGGCTTTGTATTTATGTAACAAAACAGCACTGTCAACTAAATAGCTATAAAAAGATTCAATATTAAATAGATGAAAAATCTTGAATTAAACCTAGTAAACTAAAACTATTTAACGACCTATTTAACAGCGTTACTTGAAGTGTGGATACCTTAGCAATAAAATGTCAAAGGGTTGAAAATGATAATTTAAAGAACAATTCAAACACCATCCGATACACATAATACCAAAAGAAAACACCATGCAATCGGTATTTGCATGTCTTCACTTGCATTAATGGGGTAATTGATGATAACCGTTTCAAAAACTTTTCATTCATGTTGTTCACATATTCTCAAAGTCATGCATGGAGTGAGATTTGCAAAAGTGTTTCTATTATTTTAAGCATTTAAATCATATGTAAAAAAAACAGAATCTAAACTATAAATAAAAGAATGGTATTTTACTATAATCATATTTATCAAGATTATTACCACACGCAAATGGACACTGATTTCTATACAGTCATTAGTCCCCGCTCTCTCTTCGAAACAACGATTTCATGGTAGTACAACTTAGCGAATTTAAAATGATTAAAATAAATACAAAATTGTAAACACATCTCGTCCTAATTGTCAGCATAACTGTTAGAAAGTATGTATATTTTTTAAAAGGCATTGTTTTTAGAAAATGTGTAAATTTAATCTTGTCGCTAAAAAGCTTTTTCGATGCACATACAGCATTGATAACTTTTCTATCTTGAGAAAATATTAGAACTAAAAGGACGCAAAGAATAGAGGAATTGATGAAAGATTGACCTTGATTTTCTGACTTTCAGGGTATTTCTGCCATCGACGGCAGCATTTAAAATAAGTATCTGCCTACAATGGCAGCATTTTTCTTCGACCGGACCAGATTGAACGTCTGTTAAACTTTCAAGAAAAGACTCACGGGGTAGATATTTGGCTTGCGTGACCCCAATGGATGAACGTCTATATAAATAACACGAAATCCTGCCATTTAGTTAAAAAAACCTTAGATATTTTGAACAAAAAACAGACATTTTCACGGATTTTTCCGAAGCTGTCACTTTTAACCTGCTCAAAATAGTCTAAAAACAGGAAAAACGAGTCCAAAAATTACCTAATTGTATCTCCAGTCAATGGACATTAGCTTCTTAGCAATGAAATGGGCAGTATTTGTGTAATATAATAATACCAACCAAATTTATAACCTACCTTACCGAGCGGTAAATTTCAGCTATCTGCCATCACTGGCACCAGTAATACGGTGTGTATTGATTTAATAAATAAAAAATGCAATAAAGTTCATATTAAATTATAAAACTGTTGTTAGCCTTTCCTCTTTATAATTTGTTTCATTTTCATTTGGCACAACACTTGTATTCTTAATGTTCCTGTATTTTGTTTAATAAGTAATAAAATTCACATTCGTTCTTACTAATATTAAAGCAATATGCCTCCAGATTCATAGGCCTGAAATGGAATATTACTTTTAAGATTACACATTTTAACAAATATCATTTCTGAAATGAAAGACTTTTGTGTTTGTGTGTGGGGGGGGGGGTACAGTTTCATTATATAAATGTATTGTTGTTTTTGTGTTGTTTTTTGTGTGTGTTTTTTATTTTTCGAAATAAGTTTGTTTGGAAAATGCTTAGTCATTGTAGGGATTGCCTCATCCATCTGTTTGTTCCCCTGCAAGTTCATCTCCAATCATGTTATGATCATTGGTCTTGCAAGAAGTTTCTTGAAACGTGGCATATATATTCACCATTCTACAACTACATTGTATGTGTTGCTTACAAGTTTGTTTTTTGTACATGATCGTTGGGGCTTATTTCATCACATACAAAGGTCAAAGACTA